ACTTTCCGCACGCTTGCTCACGCCTCTGTATCTCTCTCTTGCTCTGTAGGTCTTTATAATACACGTCGTCCTCCGTTTCGTGAATCGACTCGTTCTCTCCTCGTACGAACGTACGTTTGCGACCTATACGTATTAGCCCGGGGTACCGATAACCTAGTACCTACACAACCGGACGGGATAAACTGTCCTAGGCTCCCAATTCATAGCGTTACCCAATCAGAAATATAATTACTGATAGATCTATCAGTGGTTCGAACCGCAAAGCTGGTAGTATGCTTCGTAAGTCTGTTCGTTGCTGGTTTGGAATAAAAGGTTTTCGCTACTCCCCTGGATTAACTGCTGATTGTTCGCCGATCTTAACTTTTCGTCTTATCAATTTGATAGGGGACATGTCCCCTACAAGTGCACTTGTACCATGAGAATTCAATGATAAGGCGTGACTATTGTACACAGACTGAGCTTATTTATTCAGTATATCCTAGAAAATACATATGTGCGAATAAGGAATCCAAAACAGTTCAACGTTGTGTTTACCTGATTTCTATTTTTGATTGCACCCAAGTCGAATTCCTTCGACACGTTTCGCGACCAACTGACGTCTAAGATTAACTACGTAGCTAATCGTATTACAGAATGCCACAGATGGCGGCTGACTATACAATTGACTACAAAATATACAGCACACTATACACTATGCAATAAATTATACATTATATACTACAGTATATTGTAGTATATTTATACTATGTATATACACTAGTGTATATATATACACCATAGAAATCAATAAAATATTATTTATTGCTACAATTTGGACATTTTAAATGTACCTCATTCAGGTTGCATTTATAATTTCTTAGACTTCCAAAACATAGTGTATTATATGCAAGGAAAATAATTCGGCACCTAAGTACGTATACGTACACCGGTGTACGTATAGGCCTATTTAGGCCTATGTATATGTATGTGAGTGTTTGATAGATGGAATCAGCTACCACCTCACCTGATGAACTGTGCGAGTGCAGTCGATTTCAAGAGGCAGTTAGACAGGGTTTGGACCCAAATATACCCAGAGGTAGTATAGAAGCAGGGTCTGAGATTGTTTAGGGTTGACATGCTATTTGTTTTCCAATTAATCTCCCTTACAGATATCGTACCGGAACCAGTTTCCTGCCGCAAAACACTTGCAAGACAGCGACTGAAACGATTTTTGAAGCTTTGGGAGAATAAACCTTCCNTGGACGCTTGGTTGGCGAAA